GGGTGAGAAATTGCGTAATAAGAGATAAATGTGGTATGCAAGATGATGTTGTGACCAGAATTAAGAAAGGAATGCTTCGGTGGTTTGGTCATGTAGAAAGAATGAATGAGGAAAGAGTTACAATGCAAATTTATATGGCAGATGTGAACGGCCGAGTCGTGAAGGGACGCCCTAGAAAAAAGTTTATCGACCAAATTGGCGATATTTTGAAAATGGGCCACGTTAGAAGTACCCTTAACCGACGAGCATGTATGCGTAGATATATGGATGTAAAGGAGGCGAAAGAGGTATGTCAGGATCGTGCCAAATGGAAGTCCGTAGTCTCTGCCTGCCCCTCTGGGTGACAGGCGTGAGTGTTTATGTTTTTGTTTTTTTTTTATAATTATATTACACTATTTACTGTTTTAGAAGTCGGTTATATTTTTTTCAAATTTTTTTTAATGATACTATTTTTAGTTGAGAGTTATGTACCTTTAGTGGGTACAGGCGTGATATTATACTGTGTGGTTGCGTATACTTCTACATATTTGTTTATCTGGTTGCGTAAAGAATGCATAGATACGCGATAGCAGCAATCGCGGTTGATTTGCTGTCATTTATTGAAGAGTTCCCTCGATTTCTCCAAGATCCCATCATCATATCTTGGTCTGACCATCATCGATTACCATTGCATCATCTGGAAAGTATATTCTTTCAAACCAAAAAATAATTTTCCAAATCGGTTCAGGCATCTTCGAGAAACGGGGAACAGAACATACACAACCAAAAAAACAACGAATTGAGAACCGCTACCTTTTTTCGTAATCGGTTAAAAAGTAGGTAAAAGCAAATCAATGAAATTATTATATAATAACAACATCTACTTAAATTCACGTAAGAACTTTCATAATAACAACTAAATTGGGTTCATAATAATAGCACCAATTTGTTTCCTCTCTCTTTTCTCTTTTTAAAATACGTTATCCCCACAGTAGGATTTTCTCCTGTATCGTGGAGGCAGTTTACAAACATAAATTGCACAAGGACAAACATCCAGACCCGGAACAACTATTTGTAGGCCATACAAATATTTGTTCCGTGCGGGATTCGAACCCGCGGTCCCCAGCGCATCTACTCATTGCTAAGTCACTGCGCCAAGAAGCTCACAATTGCCGTTTGTTTATGTTATTATTCAAAAATGAATCGCATAGGTAGGTACGCGATGACGCCGTCTCGCATTGCGTCACTCGAGTGCGTATGTGTGTGCGCACTAGCTTCTTACTGCTCATCACAGCGTCTATCCCTTTCGCATATGATGTCGGCTGAGATAGCACGCATTTTAACCCCGCCCACCATTTAGTTCGAGCTATCGACTAGGGCCACCTTAAGTAAATTCTGATATATTATGTTGCACAAATTAAACATTTTCTTGTTTTGAAGTCTATTGAAAGGCACTTAAAAGATATAATAATGTGAAAGAAAACAACGTCAAATCTATAATACATAATTTAATTATTTTATTGGTCGCCTCACAACATCAATATTGATCAAAAATTTTGAAGTACCTACATAGTATTAAATAGTGTACATTCATCAACACAAGACTTGCGTATTGATAGCTTATTAACATAGGCCAATCATAGTTAACTAAATTAATTAATGTATAGGCCAAATAATATAAATACCAGCGTAAAATAGCAGCTTAATGCTGCTGTGTTTCGTATGGTGAGTGGAGAGAAACGGAGACCCTTTTTACAGGAGGCATTCCATATTGGTCCCCAGGGGTGATAACGCACCTGCATTTTGAATCTGAATCGAAGATAATAATCTAGGGGTCTCAGCACTTACTATCAGGTGGACTGTGTACTCGTTTGTCACCCTTATTCTATGTTTAAAAAAAGCAGTAAAAATCCATTTTAAAAACCAACAATACAATATTAAGAACATATTTAACAGTGTTGATAATTGTACCTATATAAATTGATATGAATAATTTAAAACTTTATTAGAAGCTCTTTCCTACAGCCAAGATAAATAATTGGTTTGAATCATATCTTAAAGTTATAATCTACATTTGAGTGTAATATGCTCAATCGCGAGCCGAGTTGCACCATTACAGTACCTATGGAGTGTAGAAGTAAGGAGTACAGACTGTGTATTAAAAAGTGTCCATAGAAAACCGTTAAATAAGGGTGGCGCCACAAATTACGGGAAACAAGGAAGTGAGACAACATTACTATTTAAAAATGTATTTATTGCTTTTCGAAGTATTCTCCGCGAAATTTGACACATTTTTTCATACGATGGAACCAATCATTGAAGCAACCATTCCATTCGGAAGTTGGGGTCTCCAAAATGGCCGTTTTGTAGGCGTCCACAGCTTCTTCAAGTGATGAAAATCTCAGTCCACGCAATTTATTCTTTATTTTAGGGAAAGTATAGAAATCATTAGGGCTTAGGTCGGGGCTGTACGGCGGATGGTCTAATAATGTCTATGTTTTCTTGCTCTAAAAACTCTTTTGTTTTGTGTGCGGTGTGAGAACTCGCATTGTCGTGATGGAGTATGATGCGGCGGTTGCAGTTCTCTTTATGGAGTTCAGAAACGACCTGTGGCAAACAAATGCTAGCATAACATTCTGCATTAACCATTCTTTCTCCCTCAAGAGGAATAGTAGTAACATGGCCGGTTTTGGAGACAAACGTGGCCACCATTTTTTTTTTGCAACACTCCATGAACGAACAATTTTTGTTGGCTTTAACTCATTTTCAAACACCCAAACTCGTGACTGGTTTTTTGTTTCGGGTTCGTACGCGTATATCCTGGATTCGTCACCTGATACGATGTTGTATACAGCATTTGAGGATCCTGCGTGGAATCTTTCGAGAGTTCTGACGCACCAAGTAACGTAAGCCGCTTTTTGCTCTTCACAGAGCGAATGCGGTATTCATCGGGAAAACAACTTTTTTACACCTAATTGTTCATGCAAGATTATTTGTATTTTACTCATGCCAATGTCTAAAGTTGCCTGAATTTCGCGGTATGTCACATGTCGATCTTCCTCAATCAGGTTACGCACAGTATCAACGTTTTCTTGGGTGACTGCAGTTTTTGGACGACCTTGACGGGGATCATCACTGAGCTTGACACGTCCACGTTGAAATTCAGCAAACCAGCGATAAATTGTGGTTTTGGATGGGGCTTCATCACCAACGACACCACGACAGAAATCATCCGGTCACCACACTGTTTTTGTGTTAAACCACTTCGAAAGTCATAATAAATCATCGCTCTTGAATTTTCTCGAGTAATTCCATTTTTCAACGACAAGTTTGACAAAACCTTGTGACAAGACCGAGAATCTTTTTTTATGTAAATAAATGGTATTCGATTTTTAAAACCAAGGAGTTTTCAATTAAAAATATTTTAATATGACAGGAACAGTGGAAATATTCCATTCCCGATACTTTTAGTGTAGCCTAGTATAGCTACGGGGTAAATATTAAAGAACGTGGCAAAAAATATTAGTGGGATGGACGACTTTTTCGAGGTTAAATTTACTAAACAAAATTATTTTAGATTTTAGAGCTACTTAGTCGTTTAGCAGCACACTTCAAACCGTCGACAACTGCTAAGTTCATTTCATCCGAGTAGCTACTCCAGCGCTGTTGTGGAGAGTTTTTGAACTGTTATTTACCGCTTACAGATGGACACTTTTTCAACTATTCTACTATGGGAATTGGTACTCCTTACTTCTATACTCCTTAAATTACAGAGTAGCCCGTTCGTTCCGTTTCGCAATTCCGTATATATGTGGCAGGCCTAACACCATACTTTTGGGGAGCCACCGTCATTCACATTCCCTCAAAACGTCTTACCCGCATTCCAGTATTGTTTAACGATTAAGTTTTCATAAATTTCTATGTCTAACCTTTGCACAACGAAAAAAACGAGCAGTGCAGTATCCGCTATCATAAAAAAATAAATTATGAATTCAGTTAGATACGTTTGTTTGTATCGAAATGCAAACATCACACGTTGGTCATCTTGTTTCATGTTTCGGCCAAAATGATTAATACTGACAGCGTTACGAAAAAGAAGACATAGATGGCATATACATGAGTTCGAAGTTTCGAATAGTTCTAAATAGTTTTCTGGACTTCAAAAGATATATAGTACACCATCCCACAACGCTGACTCTTCCATGTTTTGTACCTACTCTTTATATTTACTAAGTTTTAAAAATTTTCATCGTTACTCGTCCCTTTTAACAGAAGATTCGCTCCGTTCCAATTAATACAATATGTTACAATAACGGTAACTAGGTAACTATTTGAAATATAAAGTTATCGTTAAAAGATACAGATACAGGAATATATTAATCACGATGCTGACTTTATTTTACTATGCAAAAACTACATAAGTTCTAATCATAATAGATAGATGGAATTGGCACATTTTATAGACTAAAAATATATGCTATGGAGTGTAGAAGTAAGGAGTACAGAATGTGTATTAAAAAGTGTCCATAAAAACCATTAAATAAGGGTGGCGCCACTATAACTAAATGGGGTAAATTTTAAAGAACGCACCGAAAAATATTAGTGGGATAGACGACTTTTTCGAGGTTATATTTACTAAATAAAATTATTTTAGATTTTAGGGCTACTGAGCAGTTTAGCACCACACTTAAGACGTCGACAACTGCTAAGTTCATTTCATCCCAGTAGCTACTCCAGCGCTGTTGTGGAGAGTTTTTGATAGTTTTTGAACTGTTATTTACTGCTTACAGGTGGCCACTTTTTCAACTGTTCTACTATAGGAGTTGGTACTCCTTACTTCTATACTCCATAATATACGCAATGATATCCTTCTCTATGACCGAAGGATGACCGATAGGTATCGATAGATATCGATAGCGAGTAAACATCGCGAGATATGCTAATAAACATTAGTTACATTTATAATAGAGCAAGACCTTAAGCCTAAATTGTATAGCCGTGCGAGAAGTCAAAACGGTATTTTAAACTGCCGCTACAGATCTTTGGAAAATCACGTCGGTTCCGTCGGTTACTTCTTCGTCCTCTTCATCGTCGCAAGCGTCCTCTGGCTCACCTAATGCTCTGACGAACTCTGAAATTTCAAACGTATTGTTTTTAATTGTTATTTTATTCATTCGTCTATTATTGCCTATTAAAAAAATATTGCAGAACATGAGTTCTATACCATTTGCTATAGTAGACACGATTGACAGGTGGCGAACGCAGTTTTATATATTTTTTCCTGTTGTTAACAGGAACATACTGCTGTGCCCATCTCCTGTTTTCAACCGACTTTTTTTTATAGAAGAGGGGGCAAACGGGCATACGGTTCACCTGATGTTAAGTGACTACCGCAGCCAGTACCCTCTTTGCCATAAGGGCACACGGGACCCGCGCCCAGGGCCCCTATCGTCACGGGGGCCCCCGTGATGATAGGGCCATCGGCCTTATTCGCTTATAGCTAATATATAGCCTGATTTTTTTTTCAATTTTCGGCAACTTATGTATTTATAATCTGTGAGATAAAAATATTATTTCATACTGTTTAATAAAAATAACACTGCATAAGATTTAACGGCAAATGATTTATTTAATATGATAATTATTATCAACCACAATTAATACAAATAATTGTTACGATCCTTATTTTTAGACAATTGAAGCCTAAATTGTAATGTAATAAATAAAAAGAATACACGTATTGATGTTGTTATAGAATATTTTCCTTTTTTGAAGGAAAGTTTAGGAAAGAAACATTAAAGTTTACATTTTCCTAAGAAATTAATCGTCCCCGCTTTGACATCTGTCAAATATTTTAGCTCATTGCAAAGTGGCGCCGCCCTGGTGGCAGAATTAGTCGTGTATGCTCCCTCATTAATGACATTTGATTTTTACCAATTAACTATAGTAAATATAAGATCATAGCAGAAAAATGTCTTTGTCATTAACTTTTTCTACTTTCCATAAGGGCCCCAAATTCTTGTGTGCCCAAGGACCCCGGTATGGCCTAAGACGGCGTTGACCGCAGCCCATGAACAACTGCAACACCAGGGGAATTGCAGGTGCGTTGCCGGCCCTTTAGAAAGGAATAAGCTCTTTTCTTTTATCGGTCCGGAAAAATTGCCGGTAGTAAATTATTCCACAGAGAGGTCGTACGCGGAAGAAAACTCCTAGTGAAACGTACAGTGGTGGACCGCCAAGCATCCAGATGGTGTGGATGGTATCGGGAGGTTTGCCGCGTAGTGCGTTAATGAAATTTCGCGGCTGGGATTAATCTGATCAACAATCATATCCGACTTTAAAAAAAGGAGGAGGTTCTCAATTCGACTGTATTTTTTTTATGTGAACCGATTTTGATGATTCATTTTTCGTTTGAAAAATAATGCTTGTCATATGGTCCTATATAAATTTGATCAAGATCTGATCAGTAGTTTTTGAGTTATATTTAATAATGCGTATTTATTTGACTTCGAATACATTGATGATGTTCTCATTTTATTTATATTGAATTCGGTTGTACAAAATTTAATTTTACCACTCGTAGTTTCCATGGGGTGGAGGATATTCTAATACCGCACTGATCTCTATATTTATATGGATCGGCTATACACCAAGACATGAGGCGATTTGATTCTCGCCATTTTGGCGCTGATAGCAGAAGTGATCGTCCACGAAACTTATATTAGAGACAAGACAGTGTGACAAAAAATATCGATAAAAATTCTATATTCCGGCTTACCCGTAACTCCATTCTATTTATGTATCATATTAATATAACGCTATATAAAAAATAAATGTAAGTATCAATTAATACCTAGGTCTTCGACGCAAGGTTTATGTACCTCATATCGATCGACACTGCGTTGGTCTATCTAAATTTTTATTCATAACCGTAGAACGGGTTTTTTTCTTGGTTTCACCATTGGATTTGTTGCTTCATTCGCGAAGCTAAAATATTCAATTAGTATTGGAAAATATGTAACAATTATTACTCTTCCCACTAAATAAAAATAGAAAAGGACAGGTATAGAGAAAGAAGTAACCGTATAGGTATAATAAAATGTGATTTTGAAAGAAACATTAAACTTACCCAAAAAGTCAATACGCCCATCGCCATCAGAATCCACTTCTTTTATCATATCTTCGACTGAAAATAAATAAACGCCATTAAAATATTAAATTGGTATTGGTAGATTCGCCTGATGGTGATGGATACTGTGGCCTGTATACACCTACTTGTTCCTCGATTGTCGCGTTACTCTCTCAGGGATTTGATTTTTAATTAAATTTATAAAGCATATTATACCTGTTATAAATTGTAATTTTTATTTACTCGGAGTAAGCTCCCCTACCCTTCCCCCTTGTGGAAATGTATGGTTTATCTGGTTTATGAAATTTATTATCTCAAGAATTTTACATTCACTTATGAGACTCACATATCTACAGCTTAATATAAATTTGGTTTGGGCTATTCGTACAAGGTAATAATGCAAATTACAACAAAAAAAAAACTACCGAAGACATACAAAACTAAATGTAGGTGGTTTTAAAAATTTTGTTTAGCGACAGCAATGGCTCGTCAAACTTCGTGCAAATTCGGCCGCCGACTTCTTAATGTCGATTTACACAGATTAGCATTACTGGATGTGACTCGCATAAACTAAGTGTTATTATTAGTATGGTAGATTAGTTTTGATAGTCAAGAAAAAATCTGACTGTCATGTATTAAAATTTATATCTTTAATGAGCTGTTGTAATATTTATATTATTTATTATTTGAAGTACTTAAATAATTGTTGTTTTTAGTGTATAAGCAGATGTTAACTTAGATATTATGTATTTATTTATACCAGTTATTGAAACACGAAAATTATTCATACATATATATCCCTATACGGCAAAACTTATATATATATATATATATATATATATATATATATATATATATATATATATATACTCATATACATACATATTATATTATTTATATATGTATAAGTGTGCTTACTCTTTCAATATGTGATACTTAAGTAGTCTTTTATTGTGTGCATTGATTTTGAGTCTCTTATATCTTTAGGTAATTTGTTATATATTTGGGAACCTTCATACATTATACATTTTTTACCGAAATTTGTTCGCGGTGTTATTAATTCAATATCGTTGTTTCGCCTAAGTTTCATTTTATGTAGTTGTATCCTTTTAGGTAAAGTTGTATTCGTGTTTATGTCTTTATTTAAAATTTTCCGAATTAGTATACAATTTTGGTACACGTATGTTTGTGATATGTTCATTACATTAATTTGTTTATAAAGTTTATCTGTCGGTGTAAGATAATCGAAATGAAATAATACTTTTAATAATTTATTTTGGGTAATTTGTAACATTGCTATATTAGTTTTGGCTGCATTACCCCATATTTCTACTAAATAATCGAATTGTGGTTTAATAATGGTATTATAAATCGTATACCGTACGGAAACTGGAAGACAGCGCGCAATACCCTTTATCATATCCATTAGAGATGTCAGCTTGGATTTGATTTTAGAATGTGCGGGAGCCAAGTTAATTTACTGTCTAAAATAAGACCTAGATACTTTTCTTGTTCAGCCTTATTAGTTTTTATGCCATTAATCATCAACGGACTACAGTCATCAATCTTTTTGTTTTTTGCACCAAAAAAATTATATAACTCGTTTTGGTTGTGTTGATCGTTAAAAGATTGCTCTGTAACCACTCGTTTAGCGAATCCAAATCATTTTGTGCTTCTGATACAATAGATCCGATTGAGTGACCATAATAAAAAAGACACGTATCATCAGCGTACAAGGTTATATCTCCACTTAACCCTATCTTATTAATATTATTCATATATATAAGAAATAGTAGGGGCCCCAAGATAGAGCCCTGGGGTACACCAAAAGCTACTGTTCTAAAAGAACTTTGTGTTTTATCTATTTTTACTACTTGTTGGCGATTACTTAAATAAGATTTGAAAATAGCTAACGCACTGTTTGTTAAACCGATCTTGGCAAGTTTATGTAATAGCAACTCGTGGTTCACTGTGTCAAAGCCTTTTTTCAGATCTATAAATACTCCAATTGCAATTTTTTCTTGTCTAACTTCAACTTTATTTTCTTTATAAGGTCTACTGTAGCGGATTGTGTATTTGATTTTGATCTAAAACCATATTGTTTCTTACTCAGGAAATTAATTGACGTTAAGAATATTTCAAGTCGATTGTAAATAATTCTTTCAAAGACTTTTGAGATTACCGGTAATACTGATATCGGACGGTAATTCCCAGGGTCTAATTTTGATCCAGATTTGTAGATTGGGGGTATTTTGGCAATTTTAAGACTGTCAGGGAACACTCCAATCTCTAGACTATCACTAATGCATTCGGTTAATTCTTCTATTATAAGACTTTTGACGCATTTGATTGCTTTAGGACTAATACCGTCTAAGCCTGAGCTAGTGTTAGTGTTTAGGTTTTCAATTATTGCAGAAATTTCATCTACTGTTGTTGGTGCTAAGTGGCTAAGTTTTTGCGAGTCAAATCCAGAACTACCCTCATTTTCATTATTGTAGCTTAAGTAATGTTTTTTTATTTGATTTGCTAAATTCGAGCCAACACTGGCGAAGAATTCATTAAAACATTCGCAGATTTCATCTGTATTAGTTAGTATCAGTCCATTTTGATCCTTCAACTTATTTGGGAATGTTGCTTCTTTCAATTTATTATTTGATAGATTATTAATCAAACTCCACATTTTTTCTGGTTTATTTTAACAATTTCCAAATGCTTTAAAATAGTATTTGGCTTTAATTTCTTTGTATTTTCTGTAACTTTATGTCTTTTCTCTATAAATTGATTTTTTAAAATAAGATTTTTGGGGTTCTGTTTATATTGTTTCCATAGGATATCCTCAATATATATTTGCTTGTGATCTGAAATGGGTGACTCTAGAATAGCAAAGTGAAAATATTTTTCAATAATGTTAGTACATAGATGGCCAATAATGGTTTTAGTTGTTTCAGTTTCCCTAGTGCAAAACTTTGGGTCCATCTTATTTATAATTTTGTAACCATTTTCTTTCAAAGTTTCTTTATAAGCAAGGGTTCCATGATCATTGGAAGGTAGATTGAAATTAAAATCACCAATAATAATTACTCTTTTACGTTTATATATTTGAGCAGAATATTCATCCAAAAACTGTTTTATATCCGAATCTGGTTTTCTATATACGGTTCCAATTTCCATAGAATATTTTTCGAGATGAATCCAAAGGAAATGGTTACGTGTCACTCACGTGGGAGTGCTTCAAATCATTATGAACAATAATCGATACACCACCACCTTTTCCTGTGTTTCTGAAATTATAGTAGTGGCTGTAGTTTGGGATCACAAAACTATTTGCTTCCTCTTCAGATTGTATTCAAGTTTCAGTGAAAATAATGATGTTGACAGTATTTTCAAACATTTTTAGTATGCATTGTAACTCATCAAACTTCCCTGGTGCGACAATGCTGCGTATGTTAGTATAGTATATTTAATGTTTTCTTATATGAGATAATGTGTTTGTAGTCGTCAACTAGTTGGTAAGTGTATACTTTGTTTAATTATTATTAGTAGTATAGATTAGTATAATTTTCTATTGTTTTGAGTTTTTTGTGAAACTTTTTACTATTTTTGGCACACTTTTTGAATATTTTATTGAAATATTTTCCTCTCCCTTTGTTATTCTATCATTTAACTCTTGAGTAAGCTCCTTTAAGTATATTTTTTGTTGTGGTGTTTGGTCTGAATATATCCTAATTTTATCGTCATTTAACTTTTTCTTGTTCTTCAATATGGATTAAGCGATATCTTGAGATTCAAAGAAAACTTTGATTGGACGATTTTTACCAGATATATACTTACCAAGTCGTACAATTTTTTTTCGGTAAGGGACAGGTTCCATCAACTATTTTTAATATTTTCATTACTTCTCCTTTGTCCAATTCCATTCTATGTTCTTTGTCCAGTGCTGTACTTTCAGAGATTCCAATTATAACGATATTTTTGCTTCCATATTCACGCTCATTTATTTCGGCCATGATTTTTTCGGGTTTTTTCGGGGAAAGATGTTCCTGTATTTGTTTTAAAGTACTTAATTTCGGATTCAAGATGGCAGATCTTCTGTTCATTAGTTTTGTTCTTCTCTAATAAGTTTGAGATATCCGATTTTATTATTTTATTTTCTTTGCTTTTTTTTATAGAATAGGGTGACAAACGAGCACACAGTCCACCTGATGGTAAGTGGTTGCTGCGGCCCATAGACATCTACATCTATCCTCCATTAAAAATCATAATGCAGATGCGTTGTCACCCGTGAGGACTGAGATGGAATGCCTCGTTTCCAGTAAAAAGGGTCTCCGGTTCTCTACACTCACCATACGAAATACAGCAGCATTAAGCTACTATTTCACGCTGGTATTCTGTGAGAGCGTGGTCCTTCCCCGGTCGAGCCGACCCATTCGTGCTACAACTATACTACTAATATAACTGCAGCATGCATGGTTTACATGGTTAGCATGTTTACATGGTTTATTGTCGATTTCATCTCAGTAATTTGTTCTTTCAAGTCTGCTACATCTGAAGATATTTTTTCCATGAATTCCTTTTGGTTTGTGCAAATTGTAGTAAGCATCGACATGATCTGTGACATTTTGTTAGTTAATTCGCATACTTCCTTTTTTATCACTGTTATGTCTTCGTTTTCTTCTGGTAATTTCCTTTTATTACGAAAAGTGACTATTTTAGATTCATTAAGTTGTGAATCGCAAAGTGTATCTCTCAAGTCACTTCTTGTAGGCGAACGTAGAATGTTCATTTTTATATCTGTGTATCCACAAGGTATGGTATGAATGACTCACGTGCTGTTTACTCAATACGCTCCGTCGTCGTAAGTATTGTCACAGTGATTCAACCGATTATAGCACTATTGTTATTAGTAATATGTTTGTATGTAGCCCGGTAGTTGAGATTAATATTTTGTAGAAAAAGCAACACACGTCTGCACTGTACGATGCCTCAACACGACTATATGTTGTTTATGTATATATGTTATTATGTATATGTTTATGAGTAGTGATTTCTTTTGTAAAATCATAACCTCACTTTTTACACTGGATATTGACCCAAACTTACTTCTGCAACAGCTTCGGTGCTGCGGGAAGTGCAGCCCCTTCGTCCTTGCGTAGTAAATCGCAGGCACCCGTACGAGGCGTATCGGCTGAGGCTATAGGTAAATGAATAAGTCAAAGCTGCGGAGGTGAGTGCTGCGCGGGCGGGCGGGGCCTGCTTTTCCTACGCGCCTACGAGTTTACAAAAAAACTCTAGGGGTAGGGCCAGGTAGGGCAGACAAGATTACGTGGAGTCGGGGAGAGCTGAATCGGTTTCAGAACAAATTCGACCAATCTTATCTACATATAAAGTCAGGCTGCCCTAAACTCTGCTATGATAGTGTTAAATGAAACAATGTAATGTAAATTGTTATAATTTTGACTGCTCTCCACTGCGACTCAATTTTGTTGTATATGAATCCCGTTTTCAGCCAGAAATGGTTTGTCTGGGTCCGAGTGATTAACTTAGTTATGGGTGTATCCGTGTAAAAAAAAAACAAATTGACATATTTGCGTTTCGTTATAAAAAAAAACCTAAGCAATACCAGTTTTTAAGCGTGCGTGAAATTTATTTTTATCGTAATTAATTCAAAACGCATTTCCAACTAATAATAATCCAAGAATATCCGATGGAGGTTTTAGTTGCCACCTAAGACGACTCGACCTGGCAACATACAACGCATGCATCCTGAGGCTGACGAGAAAACCCTGGAGCTGGAAGAAGAGATAGACAAGCTGCGCTTGAATATTATAGGGTTACCCGGGGCCCGAATAGAGGGGGAGGACACGGTGATTCTCGAATCCGGCAACTTTTTCTTCTTCATGTGTCCCAATGAGATGTCGGATTTATCGTCCACAAGTCTCTCGTTAACAATGTTGTAAAGATTGGGAGTGTGTCGACGAGGGTTGCGTACCTAATACTCACACAAAACGGTCGACGCATCCACTCCCATAAGGGAGGAAATGTATAAGGATATCTCTAGAGCCATGCATTCCCACAAAACCCACTATACGGTTTTAATGGGAGACTTCGATGCAAAACTAGGCACAAAAAAGAACGGTGAGATGAAGATAGGGAAATTTGGGATAGGGCAACAGAACCCAAGGGGCCAGCAGCTGGCGGACTTCATGGCGAAATAGAGACTCTTTATGATAAACTTCTTCTAGAGACGGCCCCACAGAAAGTGGACCTGATCGAGTCCCGAAGGTCATGACGACTAGACGGCAACTGTTCAGTGGTGTCTCAGTGGTCGCAAGGGTAAAAACTGGCAGCGATCACCGAATGGTTAGAGGCACACTGAACCTAAACGTTAAGTTGGAGAGGTCTCGTCCAATGAAGTCAACGATCAGTCCCCCTTGTGCTCTTATCCAAAGCCCTGAAACCTTTCAGTTCGACTTAAGGTTCTCGAGTGGCAGCCTCGTATCGGTAGGCGTAGTGTAGGGCGCCCCCCACTAGATGGGGTGACGACCTGGTAAGACATGCAGGAAGTCGATGGATGCAGGTGGCTCAAGAACGTGGATTGTGGCATTGCTTGGGGGAGGCTTATGTTCAGCAGTGGACTTGTGAAGGGCTTTAATGATGATGATGATAATGCATTTTCAACATCTAAAAACAGTGTAATAGGTTCAAGCTTAACCCTCACAAGCAAGTACCGGACATATATAGCAAACCCCTTACTTTCCTTCTCCAAGAGATTCTCGCAAAGACACTGCATTACAATCCTTAGATTTCTGCATACTCACTTTCCTCCTCCGAGAGATCCTCGCCGAGGCACTGCAGCACAGCCCTCAGATCAGATGCGCAGATGTATCCTCGGTTGTGTTTGTCGAATACGCGGAAGGCATCGCGCAGTTCCCGCTCCTCTTGTTCAGCACAGCTGCTGCCGCCCCCTGCTGACATCGATTTGGAGAGGATGTTGACGAACTCCTCGAAGCTGACGTTGCCGTCCCCTGGGAAATACGTATGGTATATTAAATAACGTAAAGTTACAGCTTCAATACACCTGGATACAGGCCTCTCAATCCTAAGAGGGCTTCATAACCCTCTTAGAATTTAGTCTGCCGCGCTGTTCCAGCGCATTAAGTACGATCACAAATTCTATAAAAACTCCTCAGATTTATCCTATTAACGTGGTAGAACCATGCGACAGCTGTATTAGTAGTATAGATGTAGCACGAATGAGTCGACTCGACCGGGGAAGGACTACGCTCTCACAGAATACCAGCGTAAAATAGCAGCTCACCGCTGTTGTGTTTCGTATGGTGAGTGTAAAGAACTGGAGACACATTTCACTGGAAACGAGACATTACATCTTAGTCCTCACGGGTGACATTACATCTGTATTTTGATTCGTTATCGAGGATGAAGATGTCTATGGGCCACAGCAACCACTTACCATCTGGTGGACTGTGTGCTCGTTTATCACCCTTATCTTATGAAAAAATATATTTAGAACCTGGCTTGCTCGTGCTTTGAAATGTATGTGAACGCTTGATATATGCGGAATCCATAATGATAACGATTTTATTTAGAAGTTTTTATAGAAGTTAGGGAACAAATGAGCACACACTCTGATTAGTCTATATTTGTAAGTAGATGCTGGGGACCAACCTTCATCAATCCTCGAATAAGTATCAAAATGCATATGCGATGTCACCCCTGATAATTTAAATGGAATGCCTCGTTGCCAGTAAAAAAGGCCTCTGTCAAAAGGTTCACGTTACTCATACGAAACACCAGCGTTATTATTTCAATTTATGCTGGTATTCTGTGCCTGTATGTTCTTTTACGGTGTAGCTGACCTTCTGGCCATAAAACACACTAACTAACACATATAAAATTGACATTATTGCTAAAACAAAAATAGATATTATTAGCAAAACTAAAAAAAAAAATCACGCTGCGATGCTAACAGTGTGCCCACAAGCAGTATTCGAGTAGATATTTTAGCTCCCGAAGGCGGTCAAGCCTTACTCTTTAAGTTATAAAAGAACAAATTAATTATTTTCTTGCGTCAGTGCGAACAACTTTTCTACTTTTATTTTCTGACTGTACTCGATAATAATTTTTGACTTTTGAGCACTCACGCTTCCATACACTAAAACATTGTGAATATGCATAACCATCTAAGATCAACCCGCCATCGTAAGATAAAAATATGTCTACTTTGTTTTTAATTTGATGCGGGTCTGAATCTGAAGTTAGCAAGTTAGCCCGCAGCCAGCCTAGCTAGCTGGCTGTACATAACAACTGCAACCTTACCATCACTGTCAACCTCCTGCAGCATGTCCTGTAGCTCCTCCACTCTTGCAAATTGGCCAAGACTGCGCATTACCCGCCCCAATTCCTCCTTCGTGATCGTTCCGTCTCCATCTTTGTCGAATAGACGGAACGCCTCCCGGAATTCTGGGACAAAAAACGTCATATATCAAATATTAATCACTTGTAATTTTTTATTTTTCTGTTTTATAATCACCAAAGATTTTATATTAGTTTTAATGTTATAGCAATATTTAAATAAAATATTTTCATTTCTCAGTTACGTTGTTCCTCAGATGTCTCCACAGTCAATCACGGGATAATTCATGGTGTGCCAAAAAAAAAGATTTTTATGGGCATATCCTGAAACTTAATCGAGCACCCAACTCCTGGGTCACGACTACAGCTCAAAAAACATTGCTTACAATTATGTGCCATTTTTTATTCTAACATGTGATAGGCAGACATTGCATTGCTTTTAACAGTCTAATTAATAGGTACCTACTTAAAAAATAAGAGTGTTTAACGTGACCTTGTCAAGTCCAGTGTCAAGCCCAACCTCTCCGCTACGCATTCGAGGTGTGGAAATTGGTAAATAGGTGCTAAAAGGTGTTATGTCTCGCCAGCAACGCTAAGTCAGGAATTTGCATTTAGAAAAAACCAAAATAAGGGGCTTTTTAGGTGCCAAGTTTAAAAATTAGATGCTCTAAAATTTTCACCGCAACGAATTGTTGAAATTTGTGTTGCTGGCAAAACGTACTTATAACTAGAAACGCAGTGATAATAATAGACACACGCCAAATTTTTAATCTTGGCACCTAATTAGCACCTAATATAACAATAGTTTTTTCTAAAACCACTTTGCATTGCTAGAACACAACTACTAAAAATATTCAGAAGGTACCTGAATTGTATTTATATTTAATATGGTATAGTTACGGCCTTCTGTTAAAAGTACTAGCTGAGGGGCTAACGCTTCGCATACATATAATCCGTCATCGGTCGAAGTTTGCTCTGGCGATCACGGCCGAACTCGGACGATCGAATCAAACACTTGTAAAACAAATAGAGCGCGTACACTAACACGACCGTCATCGTCCGATATAAGCACATAAACGTCCGAGTTATTCGTCCGGGTAGTTCTGTCCGCCATCGGCCGACAAAATCGGTTTTTGATAGAATCAGGCGTTACTTTGCGGAAATCCAACCTTCCGCTAACTAAAAACAATGATGTGTCTTACCTAAATTGAAGAGCACCTCCCGCCCTCCCTCAATTGCGTGCACTAATTCAGTCACCACTAGTCCCAGCACCACTACTCCCAACACCACTATTCCTGGCACCACTACTTCCAACACCACTATTCCAGAAAAGACACACCATCGACGATCGTGTGTGCGTCTATGGGCTATGTTGTAAGCGTACACGAGTAACCTGCGTTCGACGCCCGTCGTACCAATGAGACTGTTGCTATTTTCCACGGGCTAGTGCGTTACAGCACAAACAGTTTTCAAAGAGAAAACCTGTATGTGTGTCAAAACAAGTTACGAATGTGGGTGGTTTTAATATTCATATTTTATATTTGTATGTTTCTTAAACATGTAGGTATCGTACCTTTCATTTGTGTTCGTGAGATGCCAGTCGTCTCGTCAATGATGGACGCCTTTCTGTTCAAGTTATTGTCAGCCACTGGCTTTAGAAAGGCCACCTGCCGCTGCGATCTCGGGGGTGAAATCGAACGTTGTGATAGATGACTGTAATGTTGATAGATAAATTTCTATTTTTTTAATCGTTTAAAGCTCATTCATAGATACCTACATATATATATATATATATAAGACTATATATATATATATATATATATATATATATATATATATATATATATATATACGATAATATAGAGATATTCCAAATGATAGATAGATTAGTATCATGAACAAACTACTTTATCCCCGAGGGGGGGGGGGACAGAGTCCAACAAACAGCACGCTACTCGGACTACGTTAAGCCAAAAAATATGGGTTAAGATAGAAAATTGTGGAAGAAGTGATAACTAGCTAGTCCATTGGCTATTACCTTTGGCTACACATTCACAAACCTTATATCCTATTACCCTTTTACGACATGCTAGACAAGAAACGGATTAGTAAGCTGAAGTGGCAGTGGGCAGGCCATATAGCTCGAAGAACCGATAACCGATGGGGAAAAAAGGTTCTCGAGTGGCAGCCTCGTACCGGTAGGCGTAGTGTAGGGCGACCCCCCACTAGATGGAGTGACGACCTGGTAAGACATGCAGGAAGTCGATGGATGTCAACCTGTGGCATGGGTGATGCCCACGTTCAGCAGTGGACTTGTGAAAGGCTGTAATGATGATAATGATGATGAGACAAGAAACACAGTTGGCACCACTGACCTCTATATATACACTTGCATATAATAGAGGTCAGTGGTTGGCACATATTTTTTGACCCACATACGATAGGAACAATTTACACTCCACACTGAAAAAACTAACAAATATTTAGGTTCATTTTTCATACTTTAAAATAATATTATTGATATCTTTACATAAGTTTCTTAATCAGAATTTTTTTTTATAAATTGTCCTATATGAAAGACCACTACTGTTGCCTGTGATCTTTGAGTATTCTTTAATACTTAATCAATAAAAAAATCAATAAGCTTATTGCTTAGTTCGGGCGTAGATATAAATATATACGTGTTGTTATAAATTTTTTTTATGAATAAATGCTTATATACTTAGTTTAAGATAATAATAGCATGTTATTATTACTTACAAATTACCTACAAACATAGGAACCCGATATCCTTATGATACCAACTTTTCTAATCCTATATATATATATATATATATATATATATATATATATATATATATATATATATATATAATCTTAAATTACTTCTGGAGTATGCTATCTGGCGATCGTCTGGTGTCTGAAAATCCATCCAATATGGTTGATTGAGTATGTATACCGCCAATGGTAGGTCGACAGAGCCTCGTTGGCTCGAAGCCGCTATGTCACTCTTACCGCCTTAAGCAATAACTTAGTGTTTAGCATGTATAGGCGTGTGGTAGTTGCATGAGAGAATCCAACCCTCCCATTCCCGTCCCGTGGGTGTCGTATTATATGAGGCGACTAAGAGAAACTCCTGAAAGATAAGTGTTTTTTTTAAATAGAATAAGGGTGACAAAGAGCAAACAGTCTGACTGATGATAGGTGGATGCTGTGGCCCATAGACATCTATCTATATTTATCCTTGTTTAAGAATCAAAATGCAGATGCGTTGTCGCCACCGATAACTATTATGGAACCTCGTTTCCAGTAAAAAGGGTCTCCGGTTCTCTACACTCACCATACGAAACATAGCTGCATTCGGCTGCTATTTTACGCTGGCATACTGTGAGGCCGTGATCCCACTCCGGTCGATAGATGGTGGCGGCTTCCGATAGATGGATATCTATCTCGTTTATCTCATAGGTAAAATATTTAGACCGGCGACAAGATGTCACCAGCCTTCAAATGTTACGCTTCTTGCCATTTCACAATGCATTGCGAATCCTTGTTATTGAAAAATAAGCAGCTTGCCCTGGTAACTGTTTTTAAACTCGCTTTCCCTTACCTCTCTGAGGGACTGAGACCGACAGACGGCGGACTACGGCTCTCTGGACGTGAAGATTCATCAGGTGGCCCCGGCTCTCCACTGCTGCTTACTTGCCTAGTCTGAATAAAAACAAATTTATTTTTATGCTGCTGAGGATGAAGAACTAGCACACAAACACTGCATAACTTTTCACCTTTATTATTTCTATCATCTCAAGTGAAGATCATACCTTTGCGATTGAACTCTGGGGATCTGGACTCTACAAAGTCTATGAAGGCATTTTGTACCGTTTCCTGGGAACATTTTTTCTTGCACTAAATTGATATACTTGTAGTCCCAAGTATATCAATAGTAGTAGTTAACATTGGTAGCGTTAATTTTTAATTGATATAATTCTGGTGTGTTTAAATAGACATAAAATTATTAGTTATCCCTGCATATAAATCAAGCAGCATAGAAAACCCAACAAATTACCGTTCCATTTCCGTGTAGCCAGTTTTAAGTAAAATATTTAAAAAAATAATTTTAAAACAGATTTTTGCTTATTTTAACAAAAATACCATTTTAACGGCAAGCTATCGGCTTTTTTATAGGATAGGGTGACAAACGAGCACACAGTCCACCTGATGGTAAGTGGTTGCTGCGGCCTATAGACAACTACATCTGTCCTCGATTACAAATCAAAATGCAGATGCGTTGTATCCCGTGATGACTAATATGTGGAATGCCTCGTTTCCAGAAAAAAGGGTCTCCGGTTCTCCACACTTTTAATACGAAACACAGCAGCATTAAACTACTATTTTATGCTGATATTCTGTGAGAGCGTGGTCCTTCCCCGGTCGAGCCGACCCATTCGTGCTACAAATATACAATAAATATAACTGCAGCATGGCTCTACCACGTAGAAGATCTTCAACGAATGCAGTATACAACTAGTGTCACATATTTTACAGGCCTTTCTTTGTAAGGCATTCGAATGTGTGAATCACACAACTTTTAAATTAATAAACCTAAATACGTAAGTTACTCTATAAGTTTTGAGATGATCGAAATTTAAAAATCGAAAGTAGCCGTGTTAGATGTTTCTAAAAAGCAAATTTATTTAAAAATAGAGCTCCATAAGCCAATTGCTCAATATTAAAAAAAAACAAAGATCTATTAATTTTCCTGCAACGCTTCCCGAGCTTTTCATTTAAAACGATGGATCTTAACCGTGAACATTTGCGCGCTATGATCTATTATGATTTTAAATTTGGTTTAACCGAAAAATTAAGTTTACAACGGTTACAATCAGCATTAGGGGACTCAGCTCCATCACGTGCAACAATTTTTAGGTGGTTTGCTGAATTCAAAAGGGGTAAAATTAACTTTAAAGATGACCAAAGAACCGGGACCCCGCAAACAGCAGTAACGGCAGAAAATGTATGGACTACTGAAATGTTGGTGCGAGAAGACCCACGAATCACATATACGGACATCGAAAAGATTGTAGGCATTAGTTCGGGGAGCATTCATACCATCCTACAGCAACATCTTGGAGTGAGGAAGTTTTGTTGTCGACAGATCCCTCGTTTGCTCTCCGAAAACGAAAAACAGACTCGTGTGGATTGATGCCATGAAATGCGTCTACGTTTTGAAAACGTGGCATCTAGGCGTGTTTCAGAAATCGTTACTGGTGACGAGACATGGATCTATCAATATGATCCGGAAAATAAAAGGCAATCATCGGTATCTAATTAAGGTAACTCAGAAGGACAGTTACCGACGAAACTGCAAAGACCTCGCAACGTCGGCAAAAAAATGTTGGCTAGTTTTTTTTTTTGTGGAGTGGGCATTTGTCGACGACAATGCTGGAAAATTGTAAGTTAGTCAACTCTGAATGGTATACTACAGTTGCATTACCCAAAGCTTTTCAAGCTGTGTGGGAGAGAAGACCAAAGACCGGGCTTCGGGGAATCATGCTGCACCACAATTACGCGTCTTCACATACCTACCTTAGAACAAAAGCATTTATTGAGGAATCTGGTGTTGAAACTCTAAGTCACCCTTACCCCACCACCCCTGACTAAGTTCCTTGTGATTTCTTATGTTCCCAAGAGTCAAAGGAAAATAAAAGGCAAGTCTTTTTCAAGCGCCGAAGAAGGCGTGGCTGCCTACGAAGAAGCGATTTGCGACCTGTCAGTGTCAGATTGTTCAGATCAGAGAGACTGGCAAAAGTGTTTTGAGAGTTGGTTTAGGCGAATGGAACTTTGTATAGAGCATGATTGCGAGTATATTTTGAAAAGATGTAAAAATAAATATTAATAGTATCTAGAATACTTTTTGTATATCTCAAAACTTATTGAATGTCCCACGTACCACTGCATCCTCGGTGCCACATTTGATCTCTTATCATCATGTCTCTCAAACCAAGAGCAAAAGGTTGCAATTAACAATAAAGTTAATCGGGAAGAATTATAAAACTGTTTAAATATACTTTAAGTCTCTAAGGTATAGATTTCGATTTTGAAGGTTCTACTGATTTTTTTGGAGTTTCTATTTAGTGAATAAATCCAGCATTTTTAGAGATTTTATCGCGTACGTTCAGAAAAACTAACCAAAATTAATTTTAAGTCCGTACACTAATTCCGTAAAGCATGAAATATCTTTTTATCACTCTCAGGTAACAAGGGACTTAGCAAGTCAAATATTATGTAGGTGTAGATTTCACATAGTAGTGAATGTAAAGTATTTTATAAAGAAAAGGAGAAACGTACCAGAGCACGGTGACATAGTATGTATAAAATAACATACATACATATACATAAACACTCACGCCTGTCACCCAGAGGGGTAGGCAAAGACTACAGACTTCCATTTGGCACGATCCTGACACACCTCTTTCGCCTCCTTCACATCCATACACCTCCGCATACATGTAGGAGTACCCTTAACCGACGAGGATGTATGCGTAAGCATGTATGTAATTTGGCCCGTTTTCAATAAATCGCCAATTTGTCGATATATTTTCGCCTAGGACGTCCATTTCCGACTCTGCCATTCACTTCTGCAATATAAATTTTCTTTGTCACTCTTTCCTCATTCATTCTTTCGATATGACTAAACCACCGAAGCATTCCTTTCTTTATCCTGATCACAACATCATCTTGCAAACCACACTCTTCTCTTATCACACTACCATACGTTAAAGTGTATAAAATAACAATTGTTAAAATACAAAATTAATGGTTTCAGAACTTTTTTTCGCTACATTCTTTGAAGTATTGCACGATATAAAAATCTTTATTTTTTACGTACAATAGTGCACGAAGAGATGCAATCACCCGTACATTGAATGGACTTTTTTAGTAAAACTTTGTGTTGAAACTGCGCATTAGTGTTAATTTAAGCATTAAGCTGCAGTCCCGTATATGATGGAACGATAAACTAAGTAAAATAGGTAACGTTTCTTGATATATACATTTAAATTTATACACTTATCGCTATATCTTACGTGGTAAAGCCACGCTGCAGCACGATGAGGTTTTAGCAGTATAACCAAACTCTAATGTTTTACTATCCAAGTTTGTCTAGATAGGTTCCATCGCTAAGAAAACAGTTTTTCTAACGGATAAATATCCGTTAGAAAAAAACCGCCCACAAAGTGCATCCGATTTCGATTGGTTACATTTAGACAGTGATAGTGTAGTGTATATTAAGGCTATAATATACACTATCATTGCATTTAGATGCATTCGATTTATTCGTGGTACGGGTATCTAATGCCAGAAAAATAATAAACCTAGGCTAAGCTGGATTTACTTAGAATTATTCTGGTTTTTTGAGTAATGTCCGAATAACTTACATTTAATAAACCTAAGTGTATCCGCACTTCATAAGTTCATAAGTCATAAGGTCTAAAATTGCGTAGCGCCCGCGACGATTAAAAGCGCTTAGAAATTGTCAGAATCTTAAAATATTTTTTTTAAAAATTATTGATTTAAGTTATCAAAATAATGAGAAAGTAAATTATGAATATTGATGTTATGAATATATTTGAGGGATTCCCAAGCATATAGATCAAATGACTTCGTTGTAATTTCAACTATAGTGATTTTTAGAGGTGTTTTCGCAAATAATTATGATCGAGTCAAAATTATACAATCGTGTTTTTGAACAATCAAATTCAAGATAAAGACATGAATTTACCTATATCAAAATTCCACTTTCGTTAGTGGTGTCATAGTCCTATACTATTCGATGAAAGGAGATGCATTTTTTCACGGTGTCGCCTTAAATTAATATATACCCGCTATTTGTAAGTCATTGTAATTGCGTTCATGACTACGGCGTGAGAGTAAATACACATTTACATTAGATTGCTAAACTAGAAATTGTAATAAGACTAAGGTGAGGATAATACGGTCCTTATATATACCTTAAGCTTTGCCGCACTTTATAACCAAAACTAGGTGAAAGACAGAGACAAAAACACAAAGTCGTATATAACTAATATATTAAGAATGAAAATAGAAAACAAGCTTTGACAATAATTAGCAACACTTCGAAAAATCTACTTAAAAAAACTAACTACACCACACCATACTAAAATCGACTAAAATATTTACTATAATGTTAACTGTCATAATGGCGTCGATAAAGGATCGACCTTTTGATACGTAGTACTATTATTTATTCTGTGCTTTTGAGCCCTTTATAAATTGATTAACCGATGAAGAGGTATCGTAACACAAAGTCATCTATGCAAACACCGCTGTAGTTTTTGAGTTATAAGAAAGTGACCATATTAACCGGATGACTATATTACCCTCACGTACTTTATTATGCAAAACCTACGCAGTTCATAGTCCACCTATACCAATGAAACTGCTAGAAAACTAGAAATTACTCGTAACACATCCCACTAAAATATTGATGTTTAAAGTGGACCAAGTTCAGTACAAGGACGTGCCAGGTCTTCGGCTTCAACACATGAGTAAAGGCTTCAATCTCAGTCTCGGATAAAAGAGTTGGGATCCAAACCGGCGCCAAGCTCCAGCAGTTGCTTAAAATCATAGAATACAGGCTGTGCAACGCTCTTGGAACTGCTGTATAGCTTGGCGCCAATTCAGATCTAAAATTTAAAGTTTCTAAGTAGGTTTTTATTAGTCAGTCAGTGAGTGATAAAAGTGGCATTAGTGGATTAGGTATTCAAAGAGACCTTATTAGATATGCAAATAGCAAGGTCTCATAATTTTTGAGTTGGAGGGGCATGGCCGGATTTACCTAAAGTGCCGTCCTTAATTGATTTAATTTATTTAAAATTAGGTTAAAGGACAAGTATATATACTTCTACTGCAACTATTCATTGAATTGAAACAGGATATTGTTTAAAATTTTTGAATAACTACATAAATATTGATCAAAATAAATTATGTACTGATTGATAGACTTCGAAACCTGAAGATCCAATGAAAACTCGATTTTTAAAATTCGATATCAAACCAATAACTTCCTAATTTATTAAAATCATTGATTTTAATAGCAGAACGCAAAAAATTTTTTGGGTTGGAAATTGGAGTGTGGGCACTAGCCCCTAGTGACCCTAGTGTAAATACACCCCCCCCCCTAAGGGGGTTTCCATAATAACTCCAAATGGTTCTTGTAAAATTACGCACTAACTGTGCGTCGCCTTTTTCTTTTCTGAACTTGGCTGTTAACATTTCTTTTTCACCTCCTCACCTTCCAGTATTGTGATTTGTAATTGTCAGAAGAATAGCTAAAGCGTAATGTCAGAAAATTACGCCCTAACTGTGCGTCGTCTTTTTCTTTTCTGAACTTGGCTGTTAACATTTCTTTTTCACCTCCTCACCTTCCAGTATTGTGATTTGTAATTGTCAGAAGAATAGCTAAAGCGTAATGTCAGAAAATTACGCACTAACTGTGCGTCGCCCTTTTCTTTTCTGAACTTGGCTGTTAACATTTCTTTTTCACCTCCTCACCTTCCGGTATTGTGATTTGTAATTGGCAGAAGAATAGCTAAAGCGTAATGTCAAAAAATTTCGTGGTCGCCTAAAAATGACGGGTTATCACAAAAAATGACACGTCCAAAATAATATTATTTAGAGTGGTGACGACGGTGACAAATTTAAAACTCATTTATTGCGACCGTGTATATATGGACCTATAATTGCTTGTAAGGAAAACGCATGAAAGTAGCTGTTATAAAAAATCGAAAAAAGTATGCTTACCATGATACCTTTAAGCTGATTCACCAGAGGCGAATCAGCGAAGAAGTTGTTCACCGCGGAGAATATGTTTGTAGGTTTGCCCGACAGTGTGCAGCAGGCGCTTTCACGCCCGCCCCTCACTCTGTACATTGATAAACAAATAAATAAATTCAAGTATTATGTTTTTTTTAAATATAGAATAAGGATGACAAACGAGCACACAGTCCACCTGATGGTAAGTGGATGCTGTGGCCCACACACATCTACATTTATCCTCCATTAATAATCAAAATGCCAATTGCGTTGTCACCCCTGAGGACTTAGTTGGAATACTTCGTATCCCATCTAAGTCCTCAGGGGTGAGTCACTCACCATACGAAAACAGCAGTATTAAACTGTTACTTTACGCTGGTATTCTACGAGTGTGTAATCTTTCCCCGGTCGAGCCGAGCCATTCGTGCTACAGGCTATACCACGTTACACGTAATAAAAGTAGGAGTTTTACTATGAAATAAAACTAAAAAATAGCTCCATGCATTTGCTTCCATTTATAAGTTGTTTTTGTTGTTAGTTGTTATCGACGATAATTAGACCGAATTGATTTTTTAACCTAGTGCAAAAAACGAGAAGGTTCTATGATCGATGCGTAGGCTTTTTTAGTTTATTCATTGATTTCTCTGTAACGGCTTTTTAATTTATATTTTAAATTATTCTTCTTTTATGAAACAGTTTATAGGTACATCAGGAGTGGTCCTACATAAAATTTAATAAAAAATTCACACTTGAAGATACAAATTAGGCGATGATGTTATTAATGTAACAATTTAGTTGACGTCATAGTTGTTACCATAAACTTCTGATATACCTTAGTTCATTCAAAATGATAAAATAAATTATTTGTAAAAAAAAACGATTTCAAAAACAAAAAATAAGTACCCATGTTATAAAATAATTTCCACGTAATAGCTTCAGAACTACGGGGTTTTGATTCTTCGATACACGTATCTGTTTACATTTTTTGTGATGTTGGTGCTGTAAGCGTATACGTTTCTTGCATCTTCATCTCACACTTTGATATACCTACTATGTCTTAGAACTGACAATAAATATTATGTGGAAATAATTTCATAAATTATTTCCTTATTATTTCTGTTTTTCTTTTTATAGTTTTAACTAATAATTTTATAAGTTTTAATTATATGCATAAAAATCGAGTTTCAATAGCTGTGTATAAAACTAAGGCTTAGTGCAAAGATATCAAGATGAGAAATAAGAATGAGATGATTAGAAACTGCATTATACAGGGTTATTTTTCAAAGAGTAGCGAGTAGTATATAAATATTGATATACCGGGTATTGCAGTTTTGAAAATATGAGTAAGTAAGGCTTCTCCTTTTATTTCAAAAAGATTTATGGGCAAAAACGTTTTTGCCTACCGATCGACCCTTACGAATGCTACGTGTACGCCTGCTAAAAATACGTGCTCAGTAAACACATAAAATAATGCATTACCACGCATTTTGAATTTTAAACATAAAATAGGCAGTATGTTTGAGACTTTTTTTAATTAATTTTTCTTCACCGTTTGCCTATATTATTTATCTGAACCTTAATATAATGCAAAATAACCCTGTATAAATTGCACTCAAGCGTAATTAAGTTATTTTTCCAATATTCAGTCTTCGTGCTACAGAACGCTCTGAAAACTAAATGTATGGAATCTGTACACATCATCAGTGTAGGAATTATGTTACCAATATAAATCAATGCCATAATCATGGTGTAGTGTTTTGAACAAGCATCTGTTAAAAATGAAACTAGCGAGCCGTAACGATTGCAATCCTTCCTAAAAATTGAGACGGTAGGTCCAGCAACAAGATAAGTTTTTAAAAATTCCGTGAATTCATTTTTAAAGATTTACTACATTTGAAAAAGGAAATTTTTTTTAGTTTTGTTCAAAAAAAAAACATTACCCTCATAGTAGGATTTTCTTCTGTTTCGTGGAGGCGGCTTACATACATAAATTGCACAAAGACGCACACAACCAGACCCGAAATAATCAAAAATTTGTAGGCCATACAAAGACTAGGTCCGTCCGGAATTCGAATTCGCGGTACTGCAGTGCCGCGACCAAACGGTTAGCCATTGCGCTAGGGAGCCGACAAAAGTAAAATTATTTTTACTTTTGTAACAATGACAATAAGTGAAAAAACTCACTTTGAATCTGTATTTGTCCCGTGCGACTGAGCTTTAGTCGGAGTAAGAACAATAGGTATATAATTTGTAAGTTGTAATATATAAATATATGTATATATATATATACACACACATACGTAAATATTTTTTTTAGAGTGAAGTAATCATTAAACATAATCCTATTCCTATCAATAAATACTGCGTTCTTCGACCTTATACTTATACTTCTTGAAATAGTATATGTTAGGAAACAATACGCGCATACATGAAATAGTAAATTGAAATTTTAACCAAATGAGTTTTTAAAATACTTTTTATTACTCGAGATATAAAATTATAATTTAATCTCCGGGAAAAACTGACGTTCGAGTTCTCATTATTTAACCGTTAACCATATAATATTTTTCGATAATATGAAAGGCATGTTGGGAATTAAATTCCTAATCGACTACATTTTTATTGAGATCCCCTATTTCCTAATAATCAAAAACGTTTTAAAAAAGTAACGTTTTGTCCACCGTATGTCGCACCCTTACTTCATGCTGGACAAATATACATGAGTCGGAGAAGGGAGCGCTTAAAGCCTTTTAATGTAGGAAATCCTCGCCCTCAATAATATGTAGATACAATTGGGAAAATCACTTTAAATCAATCATTTGACCTACTTTTACGACAGTTGAAGTTTAATTAATTCTTGCAGATAGATGGTAGATACTTTACGATAATTGAGCCTGTCTGACAACAGCATATATTTCAATAATATAATTATGGTATATATATATATATATATATATATATTAATATTTTTTTGTAGAAACGCCTATCGGCTTGTGACAAAATTATCAATTTTTATATTCAATACACATCATTGTTTTAAAAACTGTAAAATGTGTGCACTTTACCTAAATAATGCTTTCTATTAGTTTGGGGCATCATCATACAACGTGTTTGATGTCCGTTAAAAAACATTATTATTTTAATTAAATAACTTTCACAGTAAACGTATGAAACAAAGGCTTTTCAACGACATATCAAAAATCGTAAATTAAATAATTTAAAATGACAAAGAAATCTTGTAACCTTATGTAGTTACCTTCCTTTTCCTTACCTGATATTATCCAAAACAGACAGTTTGTATTTTTGACTATAAACCACCAGCTAACTGGAATTGAAGCAACGAGAAACAGGGTCTCAAATGATGGCAACAAATGGACTGTTGGGAGATGCTGGAATCTGCAGGGATGTCAAATCCCTCGCGCATGCGATCTTCGAATCGGGGTTAAGGGACATTTTCTTTGCGACGACCGTGAATAACATTACAATTACATAATAGTATTTCTGTTAGGTTATTGTTTGATTTTTTTATAAAATTATGTAAGTGTTCAGTAATAAACATTTTTAGCTATAAATGCTTTTGTTTATGGCTTAGTCTCTGCCTAAAACTCCCTCTGGTTTGGAAGCTCCGTCCTCTTGCATTTTAATCTCTCTCTCCCTCTCTCTCTCTCTATCTATATATATATATATATATATATATATATATATATATATATATGTGGGGTCTGCATATATGTATAATATATACATGTATATGTCTATAATAATTTTATGTTTTATTGTAAATATTAATTTTGTAAGAATATTTAAATTTACTATTGGCTTCCTTCCATAATTTGTTATTATTCACCCAAAAAGTCACAAAACATGAACTTAAATATGAATTTACAATTTTATTCACTTTAAGCGTAGAACAATGTATTGAACAAAATATTAATTCATAAAATTGTTCAAAACGAAATAAAATTACGAAAAATAACTGGCTATGAGAGAAAGAGAGAAAGAAAATGTGCGCGCTCACGGCTCTCTCTTATTTATATTTCCCACTCAACTCCCGTTCGCCTCGCCCGATCACACTTTTCGTAACGCTTTCATCAGACGTTCTTACTCCCCAAGTCAAGGGTGCGTAAAGAAGTTTTACTTCAATAACATTTGAGACTTTCTTTTACCACGGGTTCAAGCGATTTTTAGTAGTCAGTAAATAAATTCAAATCGTAGTAGTTCAGCGGATGAACGTGTGCCTCTCATAGTAGATCTGTACATGATCAAACCGAATTTGATCCTCGCCAGTGACAATAAAATGCTGAATGAGTTGCGACAAAGCCATGTTCCACAGACTAGTGTGTGCAGCATCAATAGATATCTGCGGTCACAATCTTGCCTGTTCGTGTTGGTAGTCGGTAGGTTCTCTTTGTGACACATTCTTCGAAGGTCTGTTGCGAAGGCATTTTTCATGTAAATTGTTCTGTTATTTATTAGTATTTAATAGCTTTTGAGTTGTCATTAAAATTATTATTCATCTATTAATTAAGAGTTATGATTAAAGTGTGGTAAATGGCCTTATAAAACATAAAATAGTTATTGGTTATCTACAGGTTTAGACAATTTAAACCAGGCAAACAGTCGCACTAAATGAAATATACCTTAAACTTTAAATTATATTCAATACAAATTCAATGTAGAAGTGAAATAATATTGCACAGCTACGGACAGTTCAAGGATTCACGAACGTTATGAATTTCAAAGTAGAGTGATTTTTAAGTTCAGGCAAATATTAGGTCCTTACATATGAAATTAGCGTTTTGTCGTCCTGACCACTTTGATCTGAAATATCTCCTTTTGGTTAATAATTCCAAATTCAAATTTATAATTTAGCTGGTACATTTGAAATCAGTCATTCGTTTGTTTTTTCCTCATTATTTTTTTCGCGTCTGGCGTTTGGCGTTGCTTATTACCGCACAATAGAAAACATGAAATATAGGTATATTCACGAGTACGAGTTCTACCGTGGCACAGATTAATAAATAGTTTACCAAACCGTGGCACCAGTGCTGCAGAAACAGCTCGAAGAATTAATGATGTGTACGGCACTGGTGTCGCAAAAGAAAGCACGGTATGTTTTGGTTTCAACGTTTTCGTTGTGGAAATTTGACCTTCAAAACCAACCCCGTGAACGGCCGGAGACCAAAGTGGAGTTAAAGGCTATTGTGGAAGCGGACTCATCACAAAGTACGTCAGAGATAGCTGCAGGCTACGGGGTAAGTGATAAAACTGTATTAATCCACTTGAAGCAAATCGGGAAAGTAAAAAAAAAATTTGAACGATGAGTACATGAAGGATAACATGAAGAAAGAACTAGCTGCTAAACAACTGAGTTTGGTCAATTGCTCTAGGCCACTGCTGCTTCACGACAACGCAAGACCACGCACTGCACAACAAACAACCACTAAGTTAGATGAGCTACAATTGGAATGTCTGCGACATCCACCGTACTACGTATTTCCGGAATTTGGACAACTTCTTACAAGGAAAAATATTCAACTCCGATGAGGCAGTCCAAACCGCTTTCAAAGATTTTATTGATTCTCGCTCCCATGGTTTTTTTTAGTAAAGGGATCAATGAACTACCGATGAGATGGCAAAAGTGCTTAGATAACAACGGTGCATAACGTGATTAATTAAATATATTTTACAAAAAAAAATTGACTTTATATTCCTCCCGTACAAAACTCCAATTTCATATGTAAGGACCTATTCTAATTTTTGAAAACCTAATTATAAAATGTATTTCTTTTATAGAAGAGGGGGCAAACGAGCATACGGTTCACCTGATGTTAAGTGACAACCGCCGCCCATGAACATCCGCAACACCAGGGGAATTGCAAGTGCGTTGTCGGCCTTAAGAAAGGAGTAAGCTCTTTTCTTGAAGGTCCCCAGGTAGTATCGGTCCAGAAAAATCGCTGGTGGTAAACTATTCCACAGAGAGGTCGTACGCGGAAGAAAACTCCTTGTGAAACGTGCAGTGGTGGATGGTATCGGATGGTGAATTTGGCGGCTGGAAATAATCCGAATAATTCCTCAGAGCACTCCCCGTGATAGATGCGATAAAATACGCAAAGAGATGCAACATCTCTTCGCTAGTAAAACGAACTGATCGGAAAGCACTCGGTTGTCGAGGCTTCGAGATTCGAGTGGAAGGAGCTGGCACTAGGGAGCCCCAGCTCAGAGATGAGAACAGTATTCCATGTGCGGCCGAACCTGCGCCTTGTAAAGTTGCTTTTGGCGGTGTGCCGGCATGAAATACTGTCCCGCTCCGCTGAGTACGCCAAGCTTTTTAGAGGCCAATTTGGCCTTCTCTTCCAAGTGACCACGAAACTGCACATTACTCGATATGTCGACGCCGAGGATTCCGATACTGGCTGGGGCAACAAGGGGAGTGCCTTGAAACTGAGGAGATACGACAAAGGGGTTCTTTTTAGCGGTTAACGCGCAAACTTGTGTTTTCTGACGGTTAAACTGGACTAGATTTAGTCGCCCCCAATCCGAGACTTTGTTCAGCAAAGACTCGACTTCAGACACAAGTTTGTCCCGGTACTCGGAGACGTTTTCCCGAGAATTATTGGCACGGCCGGTGTACAGAGCATCACCAGTGCTGTCATCTGCATAACAATTAATGTTGCCGGTTTCCAACATATCATTGATATGCAGAAAAAACAGCGTTGGTGATAGCACGCAGCCTTGTGGAACACCAGCATTAATAGGCTTGTAATCGAAGCTTGCACCGTCTACAACGACGTTGATGTTCCGATCTGCAAGAAAGCTGGTGATCCATTTGCACAATATCTCGGGAAGCCCATAGGAAGGGAGCTTCGAAAGAAGCACTTTGTGCCAAACCCGATCGAAGGTCTTCGCAATGTCCAAACTAACGGCCAATGCCTCTCTCTTAGACTCTACTGCCGCCGCCCATCTATGAGTCAGGTAGACTAGAAGATCACCAGCTGATTGACCACGACGATAACCGTATTGGCGATCACTAATCAGCTGGTGATCCTCAAGGTGCCTCATGAGCTGGCAGTTTACAATGGACTCCATTGTTTTGAAGAACAGAGAGGTGATGGCGATGGGCCTGTAGTTGGAAGGGTCTGAGCGGTCGCCTTTTTTAGGGATCGGGTGGATGAAAGCCGTCTTCCATGATTTTGGGACTACGCCCAGAGAGTAGGACTACCGGAAAAGACGCGTTAAGACCACTGCCAACTCTGGAGCACACGTCCTCAGCACAATTGGGGGGATACCGTCTGGTCCACTCGAATTGTGGATGTCCAGGGATAGGAGTGCTTTGCGAACCGAGCGCTTTGTAAACCGCAACTCCGGTATGGAGCACTCACACCGCTGGATGGTTGGCGGCGTACTCCCCCCCGTCATCGAGAGTCGAGATGGATGCAACGAAAGCCTAGCAGATCGGCTTTCTCCTTTACGGCATGGGCCAGTGAGTCGTCCTCCCTGTGCAGATATGGAAGAGATGGCTGACAGAAATTCCCCTGGACAGCCTTGGCGAGAGACCAGAATGCACGGGTTCCAGAAGGAAGGTGAACTAGTTTCTCGCCAATTCGGCCTATGTGCTCTGATGTTGCCTTGTCAATGACTCTTTTGAAGGACCTGGAAGCGGAATTACACTTCTTTTTAGAGCGCTGGTGTTTACATTCCGGGACGTTGATGCGTCAGCCCAGGCTTGGTAGCACTCCTGCTTATAGCATGATGCTATTTTACTGGAGCGACCAAACCATGGCTGAGATTTGCCTCCGATGGGCACCACAGAGAAAGGAATAAAAGGAAGGAATAAACAATACCCTGAAGTACCACATCAGCGAAAAAATCAACAACAACGTTGGGATCGTCCGGCGAGAAGCAACCCGCCCCCAAGGGTAGGATGCAAAGGAAGACCGCATCCTATCCCAATCAGCTGACCTATAGTGCCAAAAACGGCGGCAGTCTGCAGAATACAACCGCGATTTCAGGGTGAGTGGCACCACACTCTGGACAAGACAATGGTCCGAGGAGCCTAAAGAGGCGTCGACGGAAATCAGTAGAAGATCCAACAGGGAAGGTGCATGATCTTCCACACCAGTAACCAGTTGTTTCAGACCATATGCCAAGGCAAAATCATGAACAGATCTCCCCTAATGATCGGTTGAACGTGAACCAAGCCATTAAGCGTGTTAGGCGTTAAAATCGTAGGAGAGATACGAAACATCAGCGGAAGGGCACCTGCATGTCGCAACGAATCTATA